ACGGGCAGAACGTTCTGCCCAGGGTCATGCAATGTGGTAGACCATGGGTCCAGGACTCAGGCCTCCCTCTTCATTCCTATCCTGACTCCCTGAATATCTGTTACAATCACCGAAGCTGCTATTTATCTTGAAGAAGGCACTGTTCTAAGTGGGTCATTACAACACTAAGAGGTACAGAAAACCCAGAGATGAAAAGACTGGAGCTCTGGAAAAGGAAGTTCCTGAGTTTATAACCTTTGGTCTAATCCTTCACCTATTCCAAGAATGAGAGACTGGTGCCTCTGCATCCCTGTCCCCCATACCCAGAACCCACTCAGGAAATGAGTGTTGTCCTGAGCAAACTGACCTGATACTCCTCCTCTGTGAGGCCCTCAGCCAGGGCATGTTGGCGAAGTTGGTCAGGATCCTGGGCACGGAAGAGGCGACTGAGCAAGGCATAGATGTAGGGGGCCTCAGGGGAGGTCTGCAGCAGCACTGCCAGGCCTCCATACCACGCAGCCCGTGACAGGTGGTGGGCATAAAGGCGCTCTGTAGGTGACAGCAGGCGGAAGGCCTCACGGCAGTCCAGGCTAGACACACCAATGTCATTGGGTAGGATGTACTGGGTATCCGCCATGGGCCCTGCAGGAAACCATCACTATCATCACAGCCATCACTTAGCAAGCACCGATTGCACACCTGGCCCAAACTCTTGTGTGCTCGTTTCATCCTTCCAAAAGTCCTGGAGGAAGGTAATACTGTGGTACCTATTCACCAGATATGCTGAGACTCGGAGAAGGCTAGGCAACTCACCAACAAGATTACAAAGTACACCAGTGAACCATATTTGGTCCCTTCAGCTTTAAGGCTGAATCCAACAATCTAGTACTACAGATAGGGAAGCTGAGGCCAGCCAGTAGTCTTGCCTAATCACACAATGGGGAGGGCAGTAGCTGAAATTCTTATTTTTAGACTCCTAGCTCTAACTCCCCACCTCCTTCTCTGACCTCTTAGTCCAGAACTATTCAACACCCTACCACTGTTTACAAGAGGAGAGGGCCAGGATTTCAGCTGGAAGCCCCTAGTTCCAACCCTGACCCAGTACCAGATTTCTAAAAATCAAAACAATTACTTTACTTTTCTGTACCTGTCTTCTTCTCTCGGTAAAAAGGATGACCATTTCCCCAACCTCAACAGGCGAGTATGCAAATTAGATAAGGTCAGCCTTAGACTGGATGTACCCACCTCAGTAAGGCTCTTCCTTGTGTTCTTTTTCTCCCTAAGGCTACCGGCCATCGTCACATTCTCATCTTTCTAACTACCTTTTCTTCAGTCTTCCATTCTCCTTGCTTTCTCCTTGCTCTCGACCAGGGGAGCCACAGAAATCCACAACCCATTTTACAGATAGGGAATTTGAGACTTGGCCAGCCCAAGCAACTTTGACCAAAGTTCTCACAGCCTCGCTGGGACCCGGGAGTCCCCCAAGCCACAGCATTCGCCACTCCTCCCTCCCTGACCAAAAAGGAAGGTCGTCTCCTGGCCCTCGGCCCCGACTCCCGAGGCCTTTCCCCAATAGCACCATCCCTCGGGTTCTGAAAGAAGTGTTAACTCTTTGCTGCCCTGAACGCTCCTTGGCCTCGGGGCCGAGAGAGATGTGAAAAGGTTCTGGAGAGTGAGCAGAAAGGAAATGATCTTGCGCTCGGCCCAGCCTCTCTCTAATTCCCTGAAAATGACACACTGTGACCCTGAAACGCGACGCCGCGCCTCACCTGCAGCTGCTGCTCTGTTCGCAAACTCACTTCCTGCTTCCGGCTATTCCATTCATTGGGGCTCAGCAATCCCCGCCCCCATTAGCCAATTGCCTGGCACCAGGACCCAGACGGGCGGTGACTCCAGCCAATAGACAAGCGGAATTGCGCTCCTCCCACCCTGCAGCTCACGTCCCGCTGGCGCTACGTGTGGAGAATGGCTGGGTCCCCAAGGCCTTGGCCTTTTGTCCCCTGGCTACGCTTGCGCGGAGCCCAGCATATCGGTGCCTTGGCCGTGTCCTGGTTCAGGCAGATGGGACTGACAAGGTCCCCGAGTCTGGACAAGGCTGGCTTGTGTCATGGATGGAGCAGTCGGGACCTCACCACACGACAGGCCAAACTCCGCTCTTGGGAGTTTCACCCCTGCATCCCAAACTCAGCGTTGCAGGTGGGAACCTGCACAATGGAAATAGCGTGGTTCTCCCTGGGTCTGGGATGGAGATTCTTCGGAGACAGCAGAGTACTCAGTGCTCGAATCAAGGTTACGGAAAAACAGGCTGCGGCCGGGCCGAAGTCCTACCCTCAAGAGGACGCATAGAAACGCCCCCAGTGCTTCACTGTGCCGCCGGCGACTCGCCCGGAGAGTGGGGGAGGCCGCTAAACATTTTCAAGCCTCAGTTTCCCTAGCGCACAGGGGCGAGGGCAAGGAGGAGCTGGTGGCTTTTGGTGCTTGCCAGGTGTCCGATAGATGAGAAAGTTCCTTGCGTCCCCCGAAATGCACCCCGGGACCGAGGCGGTCCTGAATTCCCCTCCTACAAGTCGGGGCCATCTGGGTACGGCACATGGAAGTGCCTGCTTCCGGGATAGGCCGAGCGGGGAGCATGGCGAGGGTCTTGTCAGACTGGAGGCACAGCCAGGTCGCTTAGGGGCAAATCTGGCCTCTGTCACCTACTGGCTGTTTTGCTCTTCTGTGCGTCACTTTACTCTTCCAGTCTTGGCTTCGTCGATTGGAAAACCGAACTAATTGGATCCATTCCAAAATATTATAGGCTTCAGTGACTGTTGGCTGGGCACGACTGTCCCTAGGGGTGGTGATGGGGTGTTTGGGAACTGAAATTCCCACTGTCCTTGCCATGCCAGTTCCTCATTTACGAAGGTGCCCAAGGCCCTGCTGTGCACAATGCTACTAGTTGTTGGCTCTGATGACTATCATTGTAAGGGTGAGTTCAAGAAAGGGGTCTGTGCCCTTGGGAATGTCACCTTCTTTTCTGTCCCTGTTTCATTAAAATTGGTATAAAGTTGAGGGACTCAGGTGAAGTTGAAATTAACGTAGAAAGTGGAGCTGTCCATTACCACCAGGGGCAGCTAAGGCAAGCTGTAGATCCTCCACCCAAGCTGCACCATCCTTTTTTTTTTTTTTTCAGTACTGGGGATGGAACTCAGGACCTTGCACTTGCGAGGCAGGTGTGGCACCACTGAGCTAAATCCCTAGCCCTGCACCATCCTATTTTTATGACTTCCAGTAATATGAGGACTTACTGAGGCCTTTTGCCAGAACTTGCCAGAGGATCTCCTGGAAATGGCCGAGCTTCACTGACATCCCTAAGGTCATGCAGCATGTCTTCAGGGGTCCCTGAATTGGGGCCTTAGTCTTATCTGACCTGGCACTGTCCCACTGTTCATTCTCATATTCTCTCTTTTCTCCTCCTCCTTCTCTCTCACTCTTTGAGGCAGTTTACTCATTGGAGTCAGGACAGTCTCCACCTTAGCTCTTCCCCGGGGTAATGAAAAAGTGGTAGGTGGGGAAGTAACATTAAGTACCTACTATGTCATAGATGCCTTCCTTACATTCACAACCACCTGGCAATATAAGACTCTCATTCCATTTAACATTATGGCAACTGAGGCTCCAAGAGCTGGCTGGAGCAACTCTAGGGCTGACCACCTCCCAGCAATACCCTCAAGTTATCCCCAGCACCCAGGGTGGTGCCTCTGCTTGTCTTTCCCACAGCATGAGATTCTCTGCTAAAATAGGATCAAAATATTCCCATCAGGTCCCCAACAGGGTCAGAAGGAGGACAACAGAGGAGGGTTGCATTTTTAGTGTTTTGGGTGAGGGTGGGAGTTGAAATGCGCCCATACTTAGTCTACCATTGCCATCTGCCCTCTCACTATATCCATATGATACTCTGGAAGCAAGAATTTGATCACATCTCTCTCCTATCACCACGCATGGTGCCCTCTGTGCCAGCCTAGGTCTGGTCCCTGGCCCCAACCTATGACCACAGGCAGGTCCCTCCCCATGGAATCTGCACTTCTAAGGTTCTGGCACCTGTCCTGCACTGGGGACAATGCGCAGGTCAATGTCTATACTCAAAGCTTTTTCTTCCTATCTCTAGAACACTGTGTTGCTCGCCTTCCTGGGAATGTTAGGAACCAACCCCAGCATCTCTTGGCTCACAGGAAGAGGTGATGAACAGGGGTCAAGGTCAGACTTGGCCTCCACAGCAACCAAGGCGCACCAGGCCCCAGCCCAGCCACTCCCACTCCACCCCTTTTCTGCTCCCTTGGTATTTTTCTTGCAGTGCGCTGCTGTTCCCCTCACCTGGGCTGCCTACCCAACACCACCCTGCCTCTGGAGAGATTGCCATTTCAGACATGGCTCAGGCTCCAAGCTATCCCTGAACCTTCTTAGGAGCCTTCAGTTCTTGGAACACCCCAGCTTGGCTGATGACCCACGGCATTAGAGAGTACTGGTGGGCAGCAGGGTGTGTGCTCAGCTTCAGTGCCAGTTCCAGCAGGTCCCTTCTCACATCAGGAGCTGGAGAGGCAGGGTCTAGCTCTGCTGTGATCCTGCATGGGGCTGGGCACTGAGCAGGTGGGTGTCTACCAGTCCATTCTCTAGCCTCTCCATGGGACAGATCTCCAAAACACTGCTCAGTATAGCCCCACCCATTAAAGGAAAGCCCATGTGATATAGAGGGGCAGGCTCTGCCACCCGATGCGCAGCTATGGGTTCAAATCCTGACCCAGCTACTTTCTAGCTGTGACTTGACACATGCACCTTTATATTCCTGAGAATGCAAATTGTGACACCTCCCTCCCCATATTACTGTGAGGATTAAACAACACAACCTCTGAGAAGCAGAGCCTGGGGCCTGGTGAGTGGTCAATGAATGCAGTTGTTATTACCATTGGCATGGTTCAGGTCACATGGTGGGCATTCAGGGATGGTAGCCCTTATGTCAGAGCCAATGCTCTGAAGCATATGTGTTCCCTGCCTTTATTGACTCCTGGCTATCCACAAATGAGGGTCTAAGTCCTCTATCCCATTCTCATGGCCCCACCATCTTCTCTAACTCTGCCCACTGTAGCCCATGCTCCAGCCCCATTAAATCTGTCACTCAGCCCCTGTTCTTTATCCCTAGCATGCACACAGTATGCAGAGTGCCCAGCTCTTCTGTGAGCCTGGAGGATTCTGAGCTGCCATGGAACCTGAGCTCCTATGCTACCTCCCGCATAAAGCATTGCTCACTTACTTGCAGCCAGCAAGGACTGCACCCCAGCTTCTGAGATTCTCTGATCCTAACACACATGAAAGTATCTGTCATTTGGTAATTTGGTCCATCCTCCACTAGTCTGTGAATCCCACCAGGCAGGGAACTTAACTGTCTCTGTGTCCCCACAGTCCACTCAGCAGAGTCCAGGCCATGGTGGGCATAAGCAAATGCCAGTCCCAGCTTGCTGCCTACCTGTCTCTCGCTCAGGGCTGGAGGCATTGCATGCATGCAGGACATGCATATCAGTGAGGGCAGCTGAGCAACGTTTATAGAGGAACCCAGGGCAGCAACAGAAAGGACAAATATGTGGTACTGGGTTAGCAGGCTCAGGGCACAGTCAGCCTAAGCTGGGGGTCAGTGGCCACAGCCCCTTCACTCCCCCAGAGGCACAGTGTAGGTGGCATGATGTGGGACACCCTAGGAAGGGCAGGGGCATGGGGCTGGGCTTCACTTCAGCAGCCTCAGATAGACCTGGTGCTGAAGGCCCATCAGTATGACTGGGATGGAGATCTTGGGGATCAGAGTTAGGGAGAGGGTCACAGCCCATCCAGTGTGTCCAACCTGTGTGGCTAGGTGCCACCAAGTAGAATCCCACATGCAGAGCTCCATCTGGACTGTAGGATAGGGGACCTCGGTGGGCAGTCAGATGAAGCAGCAGGGGTTCCAGAGAGCCTAGTCCAGTGGCCCTTGGAAAATGAGGCGGACACAGCCATGCTCACCGGTGAGCCAGGCGCCACAAAAGGGACAGGCAGCATGGAAAGCATGGGTACCATGGGGCAGTGGTGTCTGGGCCCAGTAGCGGGCAGTCTTCTCAGAGCAGACATGGCCACAGGGAGCAAAGGCATGGCTGGGTGGCCCAGGGTCCAGGCAGAGGCCAGCCTCCTGGCCAAGCCACAGGGGCACATAGGGCCCCACAAGGCGGCAGAGAGGACACTCGCGCTCCTGGGGGCCTCGCTCCCGCCGGCAGCCCCAGCCATGGTAGCCATGGACGTGGCCACAACGGACGTAGACCCAGGGTTGCTGCTTGTCAGGCGCTGTGCGGCCCCGGGCTGGACTGGGGAAGGCCAGGGTACTGAGGCCCACAGGGCACTGGGGCCGTGCTGCATTTGCCTCCTGCCGCTGGGCCTCTAGCTGCTTCAGCGTGGGTGCCCGCAGCAGCCCTGCCGGAGTGCGCCACAGCAGCGTGGCCCCACACAGGTCGATGAGTGAGCCGTCTTGCAGCACGTTGGATTCATTTTCCACCTGCCAGGGGCAGCAGAAGGGCCTTAGCCCAGGAGGTTCAGGCCCCACCATCAGGCAGTCTCACCCCAGGCAAGCTGCCCAGCCATCCCACTGACACTGCCTGCAGAAGGCACCCAAGAGGCCATGTGGGAGGGCAGACGGGTGCTCCCCAGCCACATGCTGTCACTTGCTCACAGTAGGACCTGGGCTCAGGTAAAAGTCCTCATCTACTAAATCGAGAGGCCTGGACCAAAACAGGGATTTTCAAAATTTGTCTGAAGCTCTCCCATAATCACAGAGGCAAGACATGCCTCTCATGAGAATGCTGGATACTTAGCCCAAGGCAGCTGTCCTAGGGGTCAGGGTTAACAGCAAGGAGTCTAGAGCCAGAACCCCTGTGCCTGAATTCTGACCTCGCTGTTCAATAATTCAGTGTCCCTGGGAGAGCAGCTTAACCTTTCTGTCTTAGTCTCCTCTCCTCAAGGTGGAGTCCACATCCTGGTATTTCAAGGGGGTCTCATGAAGGCTATATGGATCAGTCTGCGCAAATGCTTGAAATGGTGCCTCGCACACAGTGGTTGTTCAACAAACATAATCATAGTTCAAGTGCATAGGTTTTTAAAATAACGCTTCCAAAATCTGTAGAATTAATGCTCTAGAAAAAAAGGCTGCTTTCCTCCGAGGTTTTGCACATCCTCAGCTGATGTGCTCAGACTCAGGAAGAGCTTTTTGTGGTCTGTGCCCCACCTCTCTCTAGGACTTACTCCTAGATGCCACGCTTAGTTTTGTGATTGGAAGAGCAGCTGGCGCTGGCAGCACTTCTCCAAGGGCACCCCTTCCTGCTTTAAGGGGATAACAAAGCCAAACCTGCCTGAATGTGGCAGACTTGCTACAAACTGCGAACACTCTAGGCCCGCTGCATGCCACAGCTGGCTGATTGTATCACTGAAAGCTCTAAAAGGTTTGCCATCACTTCTCTAGGCTATAAACTACTCACATGTGGGCCAAGTGTCACCCTCCTAAGAGAGTGGTTTTATTAAGCTGTCATCTGGCTCAAACCTGCTTGGTATTTCATGGTGCATCTATGTGGCTATATTTCACATCATCTGTGGATCTCCAGCACTGTGCAGGCTATTCCTGGGGATGCTGGTCTAGTCCTGTCTGTGTGGCAAGTGGTGTATGTCTAGAACCCCCAGGGTCTACCTCAGTGTCCATTGGGGCTCCCTTGGGCAGGGAGACTGCCCAAGATGATCATCGGCTTGGGCAGGGCATAGGCAGACTGGGAGGGATTTGGGGGGGGGGTGAGATAGAGTGGGCCACCTACCAGCTTCCCCCGCTGCTGGGCTGAGCGGCTGTCCCGCAGTGTGTACACGTTCCCGCAGACTGAGATCTCCCGCCAGACACCCGGGGCTGAGTCCTCGGAGAAGCCGCCCGCAGGGTGCATCACCAGGACCCCATTGGTGGTCAGGCCATCCATCAGGCCATCAGGGGTCCGCCATTTGGCTGCCCGCTCCTGGGACCACACGAGGGATCAAATCACATCCCTGAGTAGGCCCTAGCAAGCTGTACGCTAGAGGTGCTTCCCCTCTACCCTCAGTTCAGAGGTGGCCCCAAGAGGGAGCTGCTAAGCCCCAAGCAGCATGGCTAGGATAGCTGTGGGCTGGCCACACCAGGCTGCTGTACCTCCCCAGCCTCCCCTTTGGCTCCCTCTCTGATGAAGAGCTGGTCCCTGCCTGGGGGCTCACTCACTCCAAGGAAGATGTTGCTGGAGGCGTCAAAGCCAGCGGCATAGATGCGGGCAGTATAGGGTGGCCTGCGGTCACAGAGGATGCGGCAGGCATAGCGGGAAATGGTGCTCTGGGCAGAAGGGCCCTCGGCAGCACTTCCTCCAGGGGATGTATCTGTTACCACAAAGTCGATCATGTTCTCAGTGGAGCGGCCAATCTGCAAGGGAGGGTAGGGCAAGCACAGGGGTTACATATGTATAGGCAAATCTTACCACCTTCCACCTAGAGACTTAGGAGCTGCTTAGCATGCAGGGCTACCAAACAATGAGACTCCCGGGCCTCAAAGAGAGGCAGCGCCATCACAGCTTCTGGGGCCGTCTGGGCTCCCAGGTGGTCTCTATGTCCAATCAACCATGGTCTGAAGCCTCTCATTTCTATTACCTCTATCTACAGCTCTAGGGAACACCCCACTCAATAAAAACTAGCCATTTTGCAGGCAGAACAGTGAAAAGGTGACACACCTGTATAGGCTAAATACTAGCAGCAAATAGTGAATTTTTAATTAGAACTTGCTACATGCTAAGCATTTTAGCTATAATGCCTCAGTTAATCTTCCAGTGGGGTCAGTGCTGTCGTGGGCCCCATTTATAGATGAGGAAACCAAGGCCCAGACAGGTGGTATATCCCACCTGTGGCCTGCGGGTTGGACATGCATGGCTGCCCGGGCCACAATGAGTGAAGAAGAGAAATTGTCTTGGGCCATATATAAAAAATATAATATCATTAAAATATAAATAACAAAACTTCCTTTATTTTAAAATATTTTTATTATAACACAGGCTTGTCCAACCTGCAGCTTGCCCAGTTATCCAGTGGTAGGCAATGGGGCTGGCATCTGAATCCAGGCATGATGACTCACACCAGCCCTCCAATCTCTGAAGCCATATGGCCTCCTGCTGGCTGGTCATCTTGAGTCTGAGTCTTGATAGGCCACCGACGTGCTGTGTGATGTTAAAGTCAATGGCCCATGGGGGACATCCTGCTTCCACATCTGAAGAGCAGTCCACTGCACCAAGTACTCTGAAGCACCCTTCCTGTGGCCTTCAGTCTTGTGTCCTCACCCTGGGTACCTGCAGAGCCCAGGGGCCAGGAGGCTGGTGGAAGGGGATGAGCATACCTGGAACATGTCTGTGTCGCTGTCGTGTGTGTACTCCACTATGACCGAGTGGCTCCGGGACAGTGTGTACGATATACTGTGCTGGCCTCGGTTACTCAGTGCCTAATGGAGAGAAAGAAGTCATTTCCCACAGGATAAGTCATGAGAAGTATAAGCTTTTGAGCCAGAAACAAGATCAGGGCTCAGTGCCCATTCCTAGGAAAGGGCAGCTCCACGGTCTGCAGAGGTAACTGAGTAACAGGTACTCTAAGAAATTACATGATTTAATCTTCCAGTTACCCCACGAGTGGCTTATTGTTCTCATTTTACAGCTGAGGGAACTACAGGCTAGAGAGAACTGGCCTAATGCCACATGGCTGGAAACAGCATAAGTTGATTTCCACTCTAATCCTCTAAAGCCAAAGCTTTTCCTTTGCCACTGCTCTATGACTGTCACATACTGCTCTTGGAGCTTTAGCTGCCTCTAAAATGATGCTCATCATCTCCATGAATGAATAGGATCTGGTGGTCAAAGAAACATTCTGCAAATTATAAGGAACTGTGCACCCTGCAGAGGATTTTCCATCACCACCATTTCTCTGGTAGCACAATAGGCAGTGAGGTGATGACACAGTGGTCTCCCCTGGTGTGGGGCGCTGTGGACAAGAAGGTCTGGGAAAGCTGAAGACTTGGGCCTGGTACAGCACCCTGTCGACTGGGATAAGCAGCTTGCCTTGGATATGAGTGGTGTGGAGATGTGGTGCATGACATCTGGCTTCACTCCGTTGGCATGTGGCCGGCGGCTCAGTGCCAGGCGGCTTCTCCGGCGGCCCTTGTCCCCACTTGCCAAACATCCATTGTAACTATGGATATAGGAGTTAAGAAGAAAGGGTTGTAGGAAGAAAGAGAGAAAGAAAAAGTGAACCTATGATCAGATTTGGAGAAAAGTGCCAACTCTAGGTAGATCCTACCTTAACAGACTGTAGAACTACCCAAAGCTAAAGACCCTACAATAACAAATCCATGTATGGGGCAAGTGTCTTTCATTCAATTAACCAGGTGCTTCCTGAATGCCTAGACAGGTGCCGGGTGTGGGGGCAGTAGAGGTAGTACACTACAGATCAGTTTTGTACCCTCATTGAAGGGGGATCCCCAGCTTCTCAAGGATCCCAGGTACCACCTGTCATGACCCAGATACAATCAAGAATGCCCTAAACGCAGAGGGGAGGAGGGAATACTGGTCCTCGGATCAGGTTTCTAGGAAACACCTATATTCCGCCCTGAAGAACTGGAAAGGATTCATCTGTAGCAAACTATCATTTATTATACCACTACTAGAAAATATAATGAAAGAGAAAAAAAGACACACAATGCCACTGCCTCCGTATCTCCACACATTTCCACCCTCTTTTCCAGTTCTTGTCCAGAGGGAATGATCATGAGAGGCAAATATGGGGTGAGTCATAGCCTTGATTGCTGCCATGTACCACTGCCTCTGTTCCTGGTCCTTCACATTATTAATTACCTAATGGAATCTATGCAATGTCCTGCCAGGCAAGTGTCTTTCTTCCCATTTTACAACTGAGACAAATGGAGGCTCAGGAAGGTAAAATGACTTGCCTCATGGTAGGAAAGTGAAAAAGTCCAGATTTGAGCTCAGGTCACCCTGACTCCAGACTTGAAGAAGCTGGTAGAGATGGAGGGTTCATTCTGAGCTGAGGACCCATGGCTGGCAGAATGTGATAAGATTAGGGAATGGTGAGTTGGGTGGGAAAGATGAAGTGGGCAAAAAAGAACTGAACACCAGGCTAAGAACATTATTTTGTAAATAGATGGGTGGTACAGAAGGTTTTGAAGTAGAAAATGATAGGGTAAATAACTGCCAAATACAGAAAAAGGACCACTTGAGTCAGTCTCCAGTGAGTTTGTTAAAATCCAGATTCTCTGGACCTCCCTGTGTAGATTCTGACTCTGTAGGTTTGGGGTATCTATTAATATGTGTCTTCAGTGCACTCTGCCAGTGGTTCTGATACACAGCCTGAGTGGAGTGTCTCTGCTCTGCACAGGACAGACAGCTGTCAAGAGGGCCCATATGCTTAGGGCTTCGGTGTCAAGCCCCGCCCACCCCCACCCCTGCATCAGTGGCTTTGCCCTTAGCTGGAAAGCCAGTCCCTCCTTTGGGACACTAAGCCCTGCTTTTACAGTGCAATCACCCCTAAGAGGGGCATTGCTTTTGTCTTTTGAACTCTTCTCATGTATTTGGAGGAGGTGTCCTAAGCGCAGGACTCAGATGTACTTGGATTAAATCTTGACTCATTCAGGGCCTGGGATTTAGCTCAGTGGTGCCACACCTGTCTTGCAAGCGCAAGGTCCAGAGTTCAATCCCTGGTACCAGGGAAAAAAAAATCTTGACTCATTTATCACATACCCTTTAGGGCTCATTCTCCAGGTTCATTTTGAGGAGATAAAACATTTAAAAAATTTAAAAATGCTTGGAACATGGGCTGGAGATGTGGCCTAGTGGTAGAGCACTTGCCTAGCATGCATAAGGCTCTGGGTTCTATCTCTAGCACCATAAAGATAAATAAATAATAAAAATGCTTGGCACAGAGTTTGCCATAGTTATAGCAAGCCCTTGATAAGTGTTAGGAGTTGTTATTCTTTTTTAAAGCACATGGCACACATGAGTCAACAAACAGTAGTAATTATTATTCCTTAATAATTATAATCATGACACTACAGCCTATCATGTAGTTTCTTCAAGACTGATGGTAAAGAGAAAGGCCAAAAGATGCTGGGGATTTAGCTCAGTGGTTCCGGCGCCTGCCTTGCAAGCACAAGGTCCTGAGTTCGATCCCCAGTACCAAAAAAAAAGATTCAAAAGAAGACACAGATGGGATGAGGAAGAAGAGGGATATGGGCCGGGGAGGTGGAGGGATCATATCAGGCAAAGATCAGGAAGGGATAAGGTCTGTCTAGTCACCAAATCCCATCACTTCCTCTCTCCTGGCCTCAATTTTCTCATCTGTAGCGTGAGGGTGAGCTGTGGCTTAGTGACAGTACACTAGACCTGGAGTAAGGAAGACCTGAATCCAAATCCCAGCCCTGCCACTTACCAGCTGTGTGCCCTTGGGCCAGTCACTTCCCCTCTCTGAGCCTCGGTTTTCTCACCTCCTTCCTCACAGCATCTTTGTGAAGATTGAAATGAAATAATGTCCATGAAAGGGCTTGGCATAGGCCTGCCTCCCAGAACACTTGATATGCGCTGGGCGCTGTCTTATGTGCTTTACAGCAATCACCTCATTCCTTCCTTCTGACAGCCCTCTGAGGCAGGGATTATTATCATCCCTGTTCAGAAAAGGGGGAATCCAAAACATGGGGTAGTTTGACAACTTGCAGAGGCAGGATGGTAACCAAGCAGTTTGGCTGCAGAACCAGAGTTCTTCACCCAACACTACACACACTAGGTGCTTTACAAAAGGCAGACAGCTGGTGTTGTTACCTTTTTCTCATGTGATCAAGAAATTTATGAGAAACAGGAAGATAAAATAATCATTATGAATTGGGCTGGGTTTGGTCAATTGTCTTTCAGCTGTGAAGGTGATGAGGGACAAACAGCAGAAAGCCATACATGGGGGAGCTGGGGCCCTCCTTCCAGCTGCCCCAGGGGGTGTCTGGTGCCCACCCCTCCTGGACAGGAAGGCTTACCCCAGGACGATGAGTTCACCATACTTGATGAGCTCCTCACCAGGCTGTGCACCTTCACCGGGAGAAGAAAGGAGGCAAGAGCCCTTGTTCCCGGTGTGCTGGAGGTCTGAGGTTCGGGGGGACCCCACTTCAGGGTTTCCCTCCAGCACCATTCTGGGAAGAGCAACAGAGGAGAAAAGAGTTTTGCCAACCTCCCCACCCCAATCCTAGCTCCAGTGAGTTGCAAAGTGTACCTAGGCCAGGTTGAAAGTAGCGTTTCTCCAGTTCTATTGTTATAGTAACCATTCACCTCTGTCACCCCTAAACTTTCTCTTAAACCGTGATACTAGGGAGAGGTTTGTGGGACGCAACCCCAGAGAGAGGGATGGTAGAATCAGAGGATCGGGACATTTGGTGGAGCCAGAGGAATGGACTGACTTGGGAGTGGCCAAAGGCTCCTTTCTGGCCAAGACCCCAGTCTGGGATGGGCTTGGAAGAAGAGCAGTCCAGGAGTTAGGGGCCCTTATCCCTCATCTCAGACTCCATTCCTGGCTTAAGCTCTCAGACTGAGTTACACTCAGTCAGGTTCCTGGGCTCTATCTGTCACTGTAATCTTTCTGCCCCTTTGCAGGTCTAGGCCTCTGTCTGTTTCTCAATGACTCTCTGTCCTCCCAGCACTGTCCTTTTCGCGGTTTCTTTCCACCCTCCACCTTTCCTGCGCCTCTTTGCCTCAGTCTCCCCATCATGCCTTCAACCTGCGGGCAGGCTTCGTGATCCCTCCTGGGTGCGCACCCCCCCCCACCCGCAGGTGTCTGTCTGCGGTCCCCAGGTTGCCCAGGTCTCTGGAGGCCTGGAGGGGAGCGCTCCCTCTCGGATTCAGGCTGCAGCAGAGCCGGTCTCCCGCAGGCAGTCTGTTTGGAAAACATCATACGCCGAAGGGACTTGCGCCGGGCAGGCCAGCGCCCGGCGCCCTGGGCGGGCAAGATAACGGCCCAGGGCATACGCACATACACACCCATACACACCGGGCCCTCCACACAGACGCGCGCGCACGCACACAGCTCCCGCAAGCCTAGGGCCCGCGGGCAATGCCCGGAAAGGCGCAGAGCCCACCCTGCACCCGCGTCCGCAGGGACACGCGCACACGCAAACAGCCACAGGCGCGGGCCTCCGACCCACTCCCTGCGCCACCCCCAGACACACAAACACGCCCCCCGCGCCAGCCCGGCGCAGCCCCCGCCCCCCACGCCCTCCACGCCCTGGCAGCCTCACCTGGCCGCGGTCTGAGCCCCGTTCGGCGCTGCTCCCTGCCCGCCTCACCCCTGCTCGCCCCGGGGCGGTTGCAGCTGGATTGGCCCAGCCCGCGGAGGCTCCGCGCGGCCTCGTCACGGGGACACCCGGGGCAGGGGGGAGGGGGATGAGCGCGAACCGCCACGCTCCTCCCCTCCGTCCTGATGCCCCGCCCCGTTGGCTCCGCCCCCACAGGAAAGCGCTGCCTCACCTCGGCTCCGCCCCTTGCGGTTTAGCCTGATTGGTGAAGCAACGCCCCTCTCAGGAGGCCACGCCTCTCACCGGGCTTCCGCCCCCAGGCCCGGGAAGTCCGCCCACCACTCTAGGACTCCAGACCCTCCTGACTGGTTTAGGGACTCCCTTGTGGTCTTGGAGACCCTTCCCTATTACCGGCTCCTCCGACTCCGCTCCCATTTCTAGGAAGCCAGCTACACTGACGTCCCCACCTTACAGTAGCCCAAAGCTCTCAGCCTGGGTCGGAGTCCCCTTTCCCCAGCCTTCAACTAGGGGCGGGGGGGGGGGGGGGACCTCCCCACCTCCCGCCCGGAGACCCAGCCTCCCAAATGGGAAGGTCGGGGAATTAGAGGTGGAAAGGAGGAAAATACTGTAGGAGGCAGAGAAGGGTGTGCGCCTCAGCGATGGCGGCCTAGGAACCTGGCTGCAAGTTGGCCAGAGTGGCCGACCTATTTTCGAGCCCAAGTGGTCTATTTTCTCACTGGGTGGCCTCCAGAGAAACCCACCATGTCCCCTCTCCTCCTGCCACTACGCACACACTGCCCATGGTGACACAAAGGGTGAGGAGACCTTTAGGGGTCTGGAGCCCCTCTGAATATAAGGCTTGCAAGAGATCTTGTCTGTCCCTCTATACCAGGGCCTGTACTCTGGCTTTGAAGAAATTAAACCCTTTAATCCCTGGGAAGCAAGCATGGTAATCAACCATTTTTACAGAGGAAGAAACAGATTTACAGAAATGCCTTTGCTCATGGTTATTTTAGTAGAGAGGGGATCTGAGTTCCCCAGATTGGGTGCAAACTTGTGATCCTCCTCCTTTAGCTTCCTAGAGTGCTTGCTTAGATTGCAGGCAAACACCACCATTCCTGACTCCATTTATTCACTTTGAGGTATGTGTTTTCTGAGGAAATCAAGGAAAGGCTGCACAGAAGAGGTAGTCTGTGGCTTTCATCATCAGGGATTAGTGGGAGTTTGCCAGCATATTCCTAACGGGGAGCATCTGCCAATCCCTGCTCCTCCCAGCTGGTTGTGTGTAAAGGTCCCAATCTCTCAGACCCCCTGGACCCCACCACATCTATTCCAGCTAATTTCACCAACTAAAAATAGCTAAAGATACCAACTGTTTGGCCCACTGTTCTGGGGCCCTAGCAGCCTGATGACACAAGAAAGCAGCCATCTGTACATCTTTTAGGGACAAAGGCACTTACCGGTCAAAAAAAAAAAGACTCCCTGAGAAAGCCACCATGAAGCAGGACAGATAGCTGGGCTGCTGGCAGCAAGTCATACAAATCCTGCATTGAGCACCTACTGTGTGCACTGGAACTGTCTTATTCCCTTTTTTAACCCCAGCTTCTAGCACATCCTCCCATTGCAGGCCCTCAGTGTCTGTGTACTGAATTGCTATTATAATCCCCTCTGTACAGCTGAGGAAACTGAGGCCCAGTGAGAGGGAAAAGCTTGCCCAGGTCACACAGCCAGGTAAGTGTGGAGTTGATGACCAGAGCTCTAGTGCCTGCCACCTGTCAGCAGATCGCAGTGAGGAAGGCCAGAGAGAGTGTCAAAACACAAGAAAGGCTCAAGGGCATCTTCTGGGGTAGGGCACTGGGCCTGGAGCTGCATGGTAGGGGTTCAGGTACACCTTACCCCAGCATTGTCCAGGTAAAGGAGAGGAAGGCAGGGTTGGGACACCACCAAAAGCCACAGATGCCCAAGTTCTAGCCTTGGTTTCTGGGTTTCCCTCCAAAACTCCAGCATCTTAATCTTTCTGGGCCTCAGTTTCCTAATAATGGGACACAATTCTGCAATACTGTTCTGAAATCCCTTCATTCAGTTCCAGTCTTCTCTGTCTTCAATCCAGATCTGTCCCTACTGCTTCAAAGAAAGGGACAAAGACATGGACTGTACTTCTTCAATTTCTTAAGTTCTTGGGTTCAAGTGCCTAAAAGTTAGAAGAATCTTTTGTTTATCTAGTTGAGAAAGGATGTTGAAAAATACAACAAAAATCAACTGCAAACTCTTGGCAGGGAGATGGGAGGGTTGAGGGAGGGCCAGGTGCTGGGCTATCTCCTTGACCCTTTGCTGGTAGTGGGAGGGTGGGCTTGGGAAAAGATGGAACCGGAACCCTCAGATAGACTTGGGGATCCAGAATGGAGGAGGCCTGACTTTGCTTCTCAGGCCCTAGCTTCAGCCAGAAGCCCCAGAAGCACGGAGTAACAATGTGTACTTTGTGCTACAGTCACCAGTTATTCCATGAAGTCTTGAATGTATGAGTGGCTTAGAAAAACCATAGAATTTCTGTGCCTAAAAATGTAGCCCAGTCATTCCCGTAATCTCAGCACTCTGGGAGGCTGAGGCAGGAGGATTGCAAGTTCAAGCCCAGCCTGGGCAAATTAGCAAGGCTCTATCTCAAAATTTTTAAAATAAATAAAAATTAAAAATGGACTGGGGATGAAGCTCAGTATGAAGGTCCTGGATTTGATCTCCAGTACTGGAGAGAAAAAAAGGACAAAGCTGTTGTATTTGAAGGAGGTCTCACAGCTGACAGAAGGGAGGCTCAAGGAACCTGGATGGATTGACAATATGAGGCTAACAAGAGGCAGATATCTCAGTAGCAGCTAGCAAGGAGGACAGCCAGAGTCTTGGGACACTGGTCGATGGACCTCTCTCTCCATCCAGTGCCATGATGCTAGGGAAGTGTCCTGAGATCAGAGAGGCCATTTCAAGGGAAGAGAAGGGAGGAGGGTGGAAGACTCAGGAGTACTGAGTTTAAACTGAAATGACAGGGGAAAGCTGAAATTTACTAGACTGCACTGTCTCCCAACAAGTTAGTGAGGATGGAAAGAGAGATAACTGAGCTTGAACTGGCCAAATCCAGCCTGCTGCCCATTTTTTGTAGCTATGTGCCTGTGTTTTATTGCTGTAGAGCCATGCCCATTTGTTTAAGTGCTGCTTATAGCTGTAGAGTTGAACAATTGTGAATTATCGCTCTCAAAGCCCAAAGTGGTTATCGTCTGACCCCTCACCTGCCAAAAATGTTTGCTGACTTCTGTTCTAGAAGGTGATGAAAGTTATAATTTCATGTTATAATTATGTCCCACTTTATAATGAAAGGACTGATGGCTTGAATATATAATACTCCTAACACCCCACCTGAAGTCATTGTGAGGGTTAAACAAAATGACACTGGGTACAGCTCATCTCAGTGCTTGGTTATAGTAATGATCTATTACTGTATAATAAACTACCCTAAAATTTAATGGCCTAGATAATAAACACATTTCATCTTAGTCAGCTCTGAACTCATTGATGGACTGATCCACTGATGAGTTAGTGCCCCATGATTCAATCAGCTGCCAAAAGCCCCACTTCTGAAACCATGAGGCTTCTGGGGGAACATTCTAGATCTAAACCATAACAGACAGGGTCTCAGTAATTTTCCCAGGCTGACTTTAAACTTGTCATCCTCCTACTTTATCCTCTCAGAGAGCAGGGATTAAAGGCCTGTGCTACCATGCCCGGCTTCCTTGGGATGCTTGAACGTCTTCACATCATGATAGCTGCTCCAAGTGTGCCTGAGATAATCTAGATGTTGTTCCTTAAATACAACCCCTAAATCCACTTCCTCTCCACTTAAAGACCTGTGAACTAAAGAAAGTTATTATCTTCTCCTATATATCCAACAAACAATAGTGAGACAGGCATAGGTTAATGGCTCTCACAGATATCACAGTAGTGATACCTGGTGCTCCCAAAGGGGCAGTGTGGAACACATGCGGGGATTAAGTGCATAGCAATTATAAAACCTAGCAGACATAAACTGGCAATTCTTAGATTAAAACTTCAAGGCCTAACTGGGTGTAGTGGCACACACCTGTAATCCCAGCACTCAGAAGGCAGAGGCAGGAGAATTTTCCTGAGTTGCCTGGGATAACATAGTGAGTTCAAGGCCACATAGGGAGACCCTGTCTCCAAAAACAAACAAACAAACAAAAGCCTCCAAGCCCTGAGGATATTATTCATGGCTCTTGGCTGTACTCCAAGCCATCCTTCCTTTTACATAAAAGGTGGCCTATGTTAGCAGCTGAGTAGTTTCCTCACCCTGCATTTTAACTGCAGAGGTTTGGAGGATCCAAATGCCTTTCTTCCATTTATGCTGTCTGTCCTTTACAATCCATGCTGGCAATGTTTCCACTGATACAATTCTTTTTAAAACTTTTTGGAATGAATCTTATTGGATTCAGTTAATTAAACTAAATCCACGGATCTCTTTGGAATAAGTCCCCTCTAACTTTGGAATTATGCTGATGGACAGTACCCTTAAGATTCACGAAAGCTTTATTGTTTCACTAAATGGCGTTACTGCCGGGAGCAGACAGAACACAGAACAGGATGTTGCAGAAAAGAGATAAGACTACAGAGTACAGCACAACATCTTCCTGATGCCAACTTACCTGACAACATCCATACATCTGCCTTGACTGCTGCATGAACCCCAACCACAAATATTTGCTCTGACTCCTGTACTTGACCTCTTTCCAATCCCCTATAAAATCCTCTGCCTTTTCTTTCTTTTTTTTTTTTTCTTTTCTCCCCTGTCTTTTCTTTATTCATCACTGATGGGCCTATTGCCCTCAGTCCATCTCCTCCCAGATGAATTCTGTGAAGTCTGTGCCTCACTGCCTTCCACTAGCCTGCTCAGGTGGTCTCATTCCTCTGCTGTTTGTCAGGTTAACTTAAAGATCATCCACCTATATAAGTTACCCAATGCCCTTATCAGTTGTTAAAAGACAAGTAACACACCGTATATAATAATATAATGAACTAGTGAAAGTGGATGAACTATACCCAAATACAAGAATATGGATTAACCTACATACATATCCAGTTGGTTCTGTCTCTCTGGAGAATGCTAAT